TATAACTAAGTGCGCTGTTCTGTAATTAAGCTGCCACAGGGAAGATGCTGATGTCTAGGAAACATCTTTACGAAGAGTCATTTCTCTTAATGAAGCCTGCATTTTATAAACAGTTTGTTCCCGTTTCAGAAGGATTCAGGAAACCAGTCTTTAAAAGTGTAATTTGGATGTTACCAATTAATGTAATTGTGCAATAACACACTATTTAAAAAATTAAATATTCTATCTTCTTAAGCACTAGACTACTGTGCCAGTGGGAATAACACTAGTCACAAGGGTGCTTGTTGACTTTAGGTAGAAGAAAAATGACCTGTTTGTAATCATTCTATGTCTGCCTTTAAGAAAGAACTGCAGAGTTTTTATTCTTAATTATAAACAGCATCATTTATATTGTTCCAAACTTTGTCATCTCTCCAGCTCATCTCAGTCTCTGACAGCTTTCAGAATGAATGCTTTTTGCAATAAAAAGCTTCTTTTTAAGCTTTGTCTTTTATTTCCATTTATTTGTGGACATGTTTCCTATAGTCTTTTACCAACTGCTGAGGTATATTCTCAACTTTTGAGCACTGAGCAGCTGGGTTCCATCCTGAGCTCAAAGGACATGACAGCAAAGAGCACCATGAAACTTGTTATACTTTTTACAGTTTAGCTTGATTTTTAATTTTGCCTTTACAAAATCCTATAGTTTTCCTGTGTTTAATGACCTCCTCCGCCTAACTTCTGTAGGATATTCTGTACCTAGTCCCAAATAATAACCATCTAAAAATCCAATTTAAAAAACCCTTCCAGTTAAAGTGTCCTTTAGGCTTCCTCTTTTTGTTTTTTGCTACCTTTTGCTCCCCTCCACTCCCCTGTCCTCCTCTCCTGTCCTTTCCCTTCTTCACTGATATGAATAAGTAGTAACTCCATTCAATTCAGCGAGCTTAAACTGCTCTAGATCCAGGTCAAAATCATACTTCCGCAAAGCTTATTTTGATACAACTTTGAAAGTGTGACTTACCCCCAGGTAAGCAGCCCCACAGACTGACACAAAGAAAGACACCAATTGGGCTGAGAGATAGAGAGGCATGGTAACAAGTCCACAAGTGTGTGAAGATGAAAGAAAAAGTTACCTTTTCAAGACTGTTGCACCTTGGGTGCTGAATGTTCTGGGAACAGTTGTGATGGGACTCAGAAAAGAAGCACTCAGGCTGAATACGCCGGTATTGGTGGGTGGAAGCAGACCTAAATCCCCTGTGGCTGAACACAAGCCAGGAATTATGGACTAGACAGTTTCCCTGGAATTTGTGTCCCAGAGCACGGGTCGGTCTGCACCCTGCAGCGCACTCACCCTCGGTTCGTGTGCTCTCTTAGAGCATGCAAGGCTCTCTAGGGACATGATTGATGAAGGCATTTCGTAATTAGAATGGCTGCAACCCTGGTATTTATATGATAGGGAACCATTGTGTCTGAAAAGGGATAAACTGACAGACCTAATAAGATGTTTCCTTCCCTGATTTCTATCAGAAAAATTTCCAAGTCAATTATTCTCCTTTGCTGACGTATTATTTACTTGACTTTTCAAAATAAATTCTACGTAATTCTGCTACTATTCTGGGGCTTTTGCAAATGGAAGCAGTAAGAAAGCATGGTAAAAATGCAAATGCGTGATACTATAAAATACAGTACTAGGAAATGTTGAAGCGAGAAGTATGATATAAACAGCAACCATTGATGCATGCTAACAGAACATAACCCACTATTATCTTTCAGTCTGCCTTGCACGGTTATGTCCTGCAAAGAAACAGATTGCCAAGCTGGCAATTACTGATCAGTTCCAGGTACTTACTGGTTACAGTTGATGGGGATCTCTGATTACTAACGTCAGGTTTCTGACTGGATTAGCTTTGCAGGAGTTCCTATTGATATGTTTGTTGGTGTCACGATACAGACATGTTTCACTGGTCTCAGTAATGGTAATTAGCACCGCTCTTTCTTTAGGTGAACACAACTATGTAATTTCTAGTATTTTACCGAATGTAGACATCCCTGCACACAGCGCTGCATTGTGCTGAGTGGATACAGCCTTCTGGTCACTGCCTTCTAACCCCAGACAATTGCTGAATCTTTTTATCAAACATTAAATTTTTCAGATGCCTCTGAAATGTACTACTTACAGAAGACTTTTTAATAAAGATGAAAGCACCTGCAGCAGGTGCATATTTACAGAAAAGAAGCTCCTCTCTACAGTGGCTTTGAACAGTATCACAGAAGAGAAATGAAATTTTACTGCATGGCTTAAAAATGGTCCATCATATACTCCCCTACACATGCATGCAAGCACACACACAAATTAACCTTTTCTAAAGGATTTTGCAGAGATTTTTCTGACCACATACTAAAGGTAAATGCCAATAATGAAATATAGATTAGCAATGCCAAGATGTAAAGCCAAAGGCAATAGATAAAAAGAATGCTTGATCTCTCTTATTGTGCCCTTCAAAATATTAAGCCCTGTAAAGTGTCTATTAACTATTTAAAACATTAAAATACAATACAATACAATATAATGATACATCCATGTATCCATTTTTTTTTTTATACCTACGATTCACGGTCCTTTTAAGAATTATTGGCTATGGCTGTTCCAGAAAAGAATGCTAAACTGAAGGAAACTGGGAGACTTTAGAGAAATAAACTAAAACAAAACAAATAAGAAAGAAATGTAGCACCTGCTTGGGTAAGGAAGATATACTAGCACAACTAAGGAAGATGGACTAACCACGCAGCGAGGGTCTCGTCCTCTTAAATACATTAAACGATTTCAAGGAATTAGAAGGCTTCTACTAGCTCCACATAGACAACTGTCTACCATCAGAAAGTCAATTTTTATATTTGACAGCTTCCACAAGCACACTGAGACCTGTATCAAAGCACATGACAATAAGCAGAACAGCACTCAGGCCTACCCTGAAAGCAAAATTCATCACTTTCCCTTGGAAAAAGAGGTGGGCTTCTTGGCCAGTGGGTCACAGGTCAACGTTTAACCTTTTCACAGGGCAGTCAAATGCAAAATAAACCACATTTTTACCTCCTTTTCCCCTTGGAATTTTTACATTGTTCAGTTGCTCTCTCTTCCAGCAAAATTACTGTTGAACAGACGACAGTTTTAAACGTCTCTCCATAAAATGTCAGGAAAGCCCATCTCACATCTCCATGGGTTTTAAATGCTTTGGAGTTCACTGTCAAAACTGCATTTTCCAGTTCAGTGAACCCTTGTGCTGACTATCGCTCCAACATCCTTGTTGATTCCCATTACTGACCAGAAAGTCACCATATGACTCATAATAATTTGGATTTAATTGCAAAGATACGACTTTTGTTCAAGCTGATAATACAGGAGGGAGGGCAGGGACTTATTCCCTTTTCCTAAAGCCATGATAAAATTTGTTTGAAACATTTTCAAATCTCCAGCACAACATGTTCACCCCAAATCTGAAGGTCCTTATTATATTTCTTCTAACATAAAACATTCCTGGGGTTTCTGTCTTGTGATGTTATTGCCTAATAAAAGGTGTGGAAACTTGGAATCCTTCAGAAAACTCCAGCAACATGAAAATAGTTTCCATAATGAATAGATTTCAATCTCTTACCTCCCTCTGTAGAAATGTTTTAATCATTAAGGACAGAATGGAGTTCTCATGAGACTGTTATTTGAAATAGTAAAGAAAAATATTTGCATCTACTATGCAGTTGTGAAATATGGCTTAGTGGTTTGTTTACAACGGGCAAGCAGACGGTTATTTTACTGAATTGAATTGACTGGCGTTGTGCATGGATTTTTGAGATGGAGTATATTTGTGCTCTGCAAAATCCCCATATTTCTGACAGTCTGAAAAATGATATTGATCTCAGTCTACATCTTGATACTATTTGCAATAGAATAAGCAGCATTTGGGGTAAGAAAATACCTTTCTGTATAATATTACTCACACGTATTTGAAGCGAATGAATAGCTTACACGAACAGCAACATTCTGTCAAATGCAGTATTCTCCCGGAACTTCATGCTCTTGCTATCTAATGAGAATGATGATAGAGAGGACAGGATATCAAGCTAAATTTCTCATTTTCCACCTCTATGTTTTTGAAGCACTGAAAATAGAGAGAATATATAAAGGCAAACAAGTCTGCAGATACTGCTAAACACGTAAATAACCTGAATCTTGGCTCTACCTACAAACAGGACTGCAACAACAAAAATTCATTCCAGCTGCACATCCTGCATTTATTAGCAATTAACACCATTTTGATTTAATTTCTAGCTGCTTCTATTCCTTTTTACATATGCAACGTTTTCCACACAAGCGTCTTGAGTTTAATCTTCTAGCGTCAGTGATAAATATGGATGCGTTGGGAGGTTCAGGACTCCACAGAAAAAAGCCTTGGGATTTGATTGTAGGTATAATTAAGTAATGAAAATATTAATAAAATTGATTATATCATTTCATTTCAAATCTAATACTGGATGCATAAGTAAGGAAAGAGTGGTAATAGGTGCCAAACTGACACCTGTAGCTCCCTGTGACTGCAAATACACAGAAAAGTAAGTTAATTCTGTGCGGTTCACTGAATGATAACTAATTAAATGATAGACAGGCTTGCATGGGAGGAAGTAAATTGACTAGAATCTTTGCTAAAAACTACAGCTTAATATAACCTTGTGTTTGGGTGAATTTTATTTTAAATGATAGAATTATTTGTCCTGGATATAGAATCACAATTATGTTTCATGGAACTGTTAAAACGTTCTCCAGATTCTCCTGAATCAGTCTATGTTTAGATCTACCAATACAAAAGCAAATAAGCATATTCTCCAGCTTCTCCACACTGACATTTCAGTAAACAGGTTGGGACATGGGGAAAACACAACAAAAAGAGAATAGATTTGATTTAAAATGGAAAATAATATTTTGGAAAGGAAAAAAACCAAACTCATTGAAAAAAAGTTTTATTCAGAGGTTCAAAACAGAACATTTGTTGTATCATTAATTAAAAGCTTAGTGAGAGCAGAAGCATTGACAATAAATGCAAGTAAGTCAAAATTTTAAAAGTCAACATTTCTAGCCAAAGCTAGAAAACCATCAAAAACCTAGAGCAATAAGGGACCCGATACGGTAGTGAAGATATTTCAGATAAAAGGGTACACATATACCGTTCATGACTGATGATTAAGAGAACATCTGCCAAGCCATGAATCGTTCAATACTGTCATCTTCAAGGGTTCTTTTTAATCTATTGGTCTCTTTAATAGGGCCTTTCTAAAATTTACAAACTTTTTTTCTTGATTTTCTCAAGGAAGGTACATTTTGTTATTCAAACTGATTAATATATTTTAATGTTGATTGTGACTATAGTCTTATGGAAGAGACCTATACAATGCCACAGGAAAACATAAACTTTCCATGGTATCTTATTCTTTTGAACTGTCAACTACATTTCATCCAAAATAAATGGTTATGTTAGGCATAATTTAAAAACCCAGAACAAAAACATCATTTTTAAAAACAGAAACGTGTTTTTAATAATAATTTATGTGGAGGCCTACTGTTTGTATTTCTATTAGCTTGAATAAAACTTTTCCATTAGGGTAACATATTGATCTCCTAACTCCTGTTAAAGTGTTCTGTGTTATTATGTTGACAGAAAAGGCAACAGGATAAACAGTTCTGAAGAGCTCCACAAGGACCTATTATAACAAAGCAACTGGATGACATGATGACCAGATTAAACTGAATGTAGAACATTGCAAGGTAGTGCACATTGGAAAGAACAATTTAAACTCCTCCTATGCACTGATAACTTCTGAATTAGTTATAAGATCTCAGGGAAAAGAAAATCAAGGAGTCATCAAGAAGAACTGAATAGAGACATTTGTTCAATGTGCAGCCAGTATATAAAAATCATGATAAGACATTAAGATGTAATAAGAAGGAAATTTGTAATATTATTGAATTTATAATGCTAATATCTAAACCACTGGTGCATCCTCCCTTTCAACAGTATATGCAGGTTTGTGATCTCATCCCAAAAATGATATAGCAGAAATCAAATAAAAGAAAAACGTGACTATGCCTTAGTGACAGGTACAGATTGTCATAGTACCTTTCCTGACACTAAGAAGCTCAAGGGAAAAAAGTTATGGGTAGAAAACAAAAGGACTCCAAAATGGCTCCCCACCTTTATAGGAATATTCAAAAGAAAAAGACAAAAAGGTTTTCAGAGTCCTTGTGGGAGGAGAAACAAGATACAAAGAAAGCATGCACAAAAAATAGAAAATATGACAAGCAGGAACATCAGCAGATCTTATAGCCCACTCTCAGGCCCAAGACATCATAAAATACTGAGTCCATCCTTCAGACCCCAAAATGAAGGGCTGTATTTCACACCTGCCAGTGACTTGTATTCCACAGCAGTCCCAGGAGTGCCAGCACAGAGGCAGCGATGGTTCAGGCTGCAGATGTGGAATTGTGTAAAACCTCCAGCCAAAGCCAACACGGAAAGAGGAATCCATTGCTCCTTGCTCTGCAAAATCTGCCACTCTTGGATCTTTGGGTAAGGTCATGGTTTGGACATTCAGATGTAAGCTGATCAAAGGAAATATATGAAATCGTCAAATGTACAGAAAAACTGCCAAATGAGCATGCCCCACAATGCGAAAACAAGTAGCACGCACTCAGTGATATTTAAAATACTTTATCTGTACACATGCCATACTAAGTAGTGCTACAAGGTGTTACTGAAACAAAGAGTTCAATAAAAGTTTAAAAAACAGACATGGTGAACCAGGTTGTTGTAAGTAATCAGGCCACTGCAATTTCTGTACTCTCTTGGGTCAGCACATCCTGTCCTGCAAGCCACTTCTCATGCAACTGCTATTTTTTTCTGAGGCAAGGCAACACATTATAGGGAACAAAAACACGCCATATTTCAACAACATGCCATATTTCAGCGCGGTCTGTATCAAAGAGCATGCTTCTAAGGAGTCAGGAAGAAACTTCCACCAAGTGAACTTCTTTAGTCACGTCTTGAAGTAGCCTTAAGCTATCCCAGTGCTACATGCAGAAGAAAAGCCTAGGAAGATTAGCTTAACCCCAAAACAGGTCATTATCCATCAGGAAATATTTTCATAATAACCTAAGAAGGCAAAGGAAATTTTAGTTTTAGTTTACCGAAAAAAATATACTAGTTACTTCCCTTCTAAAGAAAACGACTGTTTTATACAAGATCACTAATAGGTTGTAACCTTTAATTAAAATTAATGTTTTAAAAGAAAAGATGATGTGGCTAATTAATCTTATCTTGGCATCCTCACTAGGGTTTTATTTTCCCCTTACTGGTCATTTCTTGAGATTCATGCTGGCAGTAACAGTGTTCCATGTTGTTTTGGGCTGAATGGAAAAACACGAGCGTCCTGACTGCAATTCCCTTTCGGAATTTCTTTGCGTTGACTGTTGACTGAGCTGTCTGAATCTTAAGAATAGAAAGACGGGAATTACTGAGTCACTGTTTCTTTTCTTCTGTGTCTGTTTCAATTCCAGACATCTCTACATATGCTGAAGATGAACAGACAAGCTCATTTTCCTGTCTGGATACTGGCTCACAGTTTGTACAGTATTTGTCTTTTATGCAGACATATGGGTAGTTGATCTGTTTTATAAGGACAAATAAGCAGCCAATGCCAGACTCATGCCAATTTTATCAATATTGGATTAAAAAAAAAAAAAACCCAAACATTACAACTACAGTAAAAAAACTTTGCTGGAAAATTTATGGCCAGACTCTCATCTGTTGTACTTATGCTCTTGTATCAATAGATTCACGGCTTGGGGATCTGGTCTCTTCTATTCTACTTTTCGTAGATCTTTGTCATTCTTCTTTTTCCGGGACTCTTGATTCTCTCCTTTCTTTTGTCTGCAGGTTCACAAAAGGATTTACTTCACAATCTAATATGAACAGAAAAAGCCATCAAGGAAAACAAGGAAAATATTAAACATAGGGAACAATTAAACTGTCCCTATATTGTTGTTAGGGCAGGAACAGCAAGTGTGGGAAGCTGCATCTGAAAGAACTACCTGCCACATAGATAACATTAGTTGATTTATTTCTCATTTACAAGCTGGTTTGAGTCTAAGCATTTTTTTGACAAGTCCTTTTATCTCAAGTATTTCTGAATTGGTAAGCTGGAGAGATGAAGAAAGTGAAGAGGAAAAAATTTGGGGAAAGCTGAAAATACTACATCACTGAAGCACAGTTCATAGTCTTATAATGAAAAAGGTTGCTGCTCTAATGAAGCCTCAGCTCCTAAAGCAGCCTGCATAACTGAGATCAAACATGGAAGCATTGAGGTAGCCAACTGGAAATGAAAGGTTTGGACAACTGAAGCAACAAATATCTAATACAAGTAACAGTCATTTCAGATTCAGTACTTCTTGGTGTAAGGAAAAGTTTGGTTTATATCTTCTTTACTTGGATAGTATGTCCCATTCATTTTGACAAATCAGCCTCTTGGTCTTCAATACTATAACTTTCCAGATTTCCCAAAAGGCATCTAAATTCTTATTTCCTTTGCTGGGAACCTGGCTAGCAAAAGTGTTTGTGCCTTCCTCTCAGTTAGTGTAATGCTGACAAAGAATGCACTCCTCAATTTTCAGTATGTCGATACCTACAGATTTAGATATGATCAGCATGAGGTCAAAGATAGCTTCCACTAGCTATGTTACTTGGCTGACTGGAGAAAAAATGTCAGGATCAGCTCAGAAAGCAGACAGTCAAGTTATCTAAGTTGATGACAGGAAAGCTGCATTGAAAGGTTTACCCGGAATATCTTTCCAAAAGTTCCCCTCATTGTTTCTGTGGGATACTGATGATATTGCAAACAGACTACCAACCATGGATTCTCTCTGTCTCCTCCTACTAAGTATCAGTACTTTTCAAGGGTTTTAAGTTCTAGGCATTGACTAGCATAGGATAAAGCATAAAGAAGTCTCCAGGCAATTTCTACACTCAGATTCAATTGCAGTTATAGGCATGAGGGAATAAACAGATGGAAGAAATGCAATAAAATTGATCACTTAAGTGATCCCAAAGGTAAGGTCACATTTCCAAATAGCATGTCAAAACCGTAGCAACCTACCAATATTTACAGGCACTGATTTCAATGGAACTGTACTCATTTCAGTGGGATTGTACTCATCCATTTATACGGTCACTATTCTTCAGTCTGCATGAGAAAGGTGTAACTACTTCTGACAGGTGAAAACTAGGCTAGAAAATTGACACTGCCTTGTTTTTCCCATCCTTCAGTGGTGCTGACTAGATGCAGAATAGCATAGAGAACATAGAAACTTACTTGTCATTACAACTTTTAAATACAAAATCGCTAGCATCCTAACTGGGCTTAATACATTTAATACATTTAATACATACGGGGCTTACTAATTGCAAATTTATCATCTGTACTCCACAGCGGGAACTGTTAGATCATCCAAATGCTCATTTTGGATCCACAGTCTAAGCAGCTAAAGTTGGAATCGAGCCAACAAGTATATGCATGCATTTCTGATACATCCTTGAATGTCATGTTTGAGTGTTTTCCTGTGGGTTACTACTGTTGAGGACTACATCCGCTGCGCTGCTAGTAGAAGCGCGTCTTTGAATACTGTCCGCCAGTTGTCCTTTTTGCATCAAAGAGTTAGTCACATTTGGCACATTTCAGATTAGTCCCTTGGAAAGGAAAAACTCATAACAGAAGCATGAATGTCTTTAATGTAGCCCCATTTGTTTACAACAGGAGTATAAACCTTGTTTCCCTGAGCCAAGTAAGGAATCCCACGCCTTACTGCAGTCAGCACGAAACCCAAGACTGCCTCTCCCTTCAGATCTCAAAGATTAATGTGCCTTTGGCTTATTTGCTTTTGGTTCTGCCACGTTTCCTTTTGCTCCTTCCATTTCTCCAGTCAATGCTCTCGTTCCTCGTTTGCTGCACTATTTCCCAAGAAAGTCCCTTGGCCTAAACGGCATGGTTTGTGCTCATCCTTATATGGGCCTGTGTTCTGACTGGCAGCTTCCCCTAATTTTGCTACAGCTAAACAAAAGACAATTAGCTGCTCCCTCATTTAGCTTGAATGGAAGGACAACTGCTTTATGCAACAGCTTCAACCCAAACTGTAACAAAATTAATTTCTTCAGACAAACATGAATCCCCATAAAAGATTTTAAAATCTCCTATTACATATATTTTGCACATATTAAATTTTGGAACAGATTGGTGACTGATGGAAAGAAGCTTTCCCCATTGTCAGCCTCCTTGTCAGAGTTTAAACAGTGCTTGTATAAGCATATGGTTGTATTTATAATAATTCTATCAAGGCCTTGCTTCTAGCATTAAAATGCTGCGTAACAATAAGGTAAAGCTATGCCGGACACATGGCTTCTCTAATGATACTTTCATGTGACAAGAAGGCAGCCGTAGGAAAAGCCAACATACAGAGGAATAGAAAGAAATTCAAAAGTAGAAAGTCACACTGTGCGACCAGTTCTGCACAACACGGATTTCACTGAAGACAGACCCAACATGGCAGAAGAGCACCGAGGATTGAAAAGGATCAACACCAATATGACTCTTAAAAAGTGATTTATGGAATTCAGCAAGAAAATAATCATCTTTACTAGGTAACTTGGATCAGTCGTGATTCCCTCTCTCTCCCGAAGCAATCCTGTACAAACACGACTTAAAAAATAATTCTGATAGGACTTTTCAATGAGGACAGGATGAAAAACAGATTTTGTTGGCTGCTAATTTAATTCAGGTAAGGTACACATCATTGTTAGATGTGGTTCAAACCAAAAATGCTTCAGACTTTTCCAAAGCTTGAATATTTAATCACCTACACAGATCCACTGCCAAACACATAATATGACTGTACTACCAAGGAACGTAAGACGTATATAACACCTTCATTGTTATATGCCAATTGACAACACTACAAAACAGCATGTAGCAACACTACAAAACAGCATGTAGCCTTTGCATATATTCTGATGTTGCTCACCAGAATAACTTTTCCCAAAATCATGACAATCTTGAATGTCTTCTTCCTACCTGATAGTATATCTGAGGCAAAGCTGCTATTATTTCAAATATATAGGTTGTACTTCTCTCATTACAGAAATATTCACAAAAAAAGACAAACCAGTGTTCCTGAATATAGTCATGCATTTATTATTTTAAAAGTCACTCAAAAATTTTAGAAAATATGGACCTAAGCCTTCTGCTTTGTTTACAGAATTGTCAGCAATTTTTTTTTCAAAAATCTAAAAGCAATTAGTGTGCCACATGGCTAGATTTCTAAACCTTCATGAAGATGTAATAGCTACATCTACACCATTGCTTTTTGAAGAATATTCAGTCAGCCCAAACTAGCAGGTAAAGTTATACCAATTGTGAAAAGCATAACATGATTGAACTATTGATTCACAATTAAAGATATAACTAGTGTTTTTGGTATTCGAGTAGATATGCTTTTATTCCTGAGTACCAATTCTGCAATGGTTAATACAAATCAATAATTTCCATTTTATTTCT